GCTCAGGCTCCGCGGTCAGTCGGTGCCTGCGGCCCCGTAACAGCGGAGAGGATGGCTCACGGCGCCTGCCAGCAACGCCATGCTCCGCTCGGAGAGAACAGCGGCCTTCATGCCTAGTCACCGTGCTAGTCTTTCCAACTTACAGCGGGAACGTTTCCCGGTGCGTCTCATCGGCTCCTGGCGAGCTCCTGCCAAAACCCTCCTCCTCAACACGGCAGAATCAAACCTTGCGTTACCTGATGCAACGGGTCGTTACTCGGAGGAACGAATCAAAGGGAGCCTAGGCTGCCCTGGGGAAGATACGAGGGCCCACCAGCAGTTCCTCAAGGGAAGCTGAAAAATAGTCTCTCTCTTCAAAAATCAAAGCATTTTGGTCTGGGAGGTCACAAAAGTGTTGTTTTTCTGTTGTCACTGCTTCTTACTCAAAGCCAATCTCTTCCCAACCCCTCTAGTTCCTTTAATGACAGCCCTGTTGAATCTCCTTGACGTTTGGGGAAAGCTAGCATCAGCCACGTTGATATCCCAAAGTTTCAGAGCTCTAACAGAAATCTTTCCAAAAGCGATGCTAAGATCTGTCTCGGATCATAGCATTCTGCTGCAAAAAACTAGAGTTAAATACATGTGTAACTGAAAGTAAATAACTATTCAAGGAAGTATTGGGAGCATTCAGCTCTTGAAGCCTGTATCTTGCTACAAGATACATAGTAGCATGATAAGCGAGGTTTACAACTCACTTTACACAAGGTGGTTTTATATAAAGATATCTTTTTTTTTTTTAAAAATGTTTTATGCCGTGCTGGATGCAAATGAACAGAAAGGAGTCTTACCAGTTAAGTAAGAGGAATATAAAACAACTTTGCTTCCAGAAGCAAGCAAAGAAAAGGTATCCCAGTTTGATTCAGTACTACATGAGAGCATGCAAGGACTTTAAGTTTACAACAGGGTGACTTACAAGGCAACTTCTCTCAAGCTTTTCAAAGTAGGTAAAAGGATTTTGCGTAATCAAATTACTATTCTGACATTATTATATTTCACAGAAAGTGGTAGATGAGCCCTGAAAAGGTGGATTTTCTCTAGCCTATATTACAGAGCAACCTAAGCCATGACTCCATGTGAGCACAGGTACCATCCAAGGAAAAATATTTTAGTGCTCAAAGAAGCTTTCAAATTAAAGTGCTAACAAGGTTGCAGAGCACTATATAGTGCACACGCACATTTGGACTGAAGGGATATGGAATTACGAACTTTGGATGGCGCAGAACAGTCTCTTACCAGCTCCAGGTGAGTCAAATCCCGAACTCTGGCATCCGAGTGCTTTCAAAGTCTGCCACGTTTCGACAACCACCCTGCTACTTTAGCGTACACAGATTCACCCCCAACACAGAAGTCGCTTTATTAGCCTCTCCGCAGCTGTCAACCCTGCTCACTTGCAAATTGTTCATTTGCTGGAGGAGAAAAAATTAGGGGATGCAGGAAAATCCAGCCAAAATAAACACAGTTGGTAGCGCGAACAACTCAAAACACTGATGACAAGGAACAACTAGGCCAAATTCCTGGAATAAAATAATTGCAGATGTGTTACTGTTCAAGTACATACAAGAGGCATCTGCGTTACAAAGGTCTTCTAGCACCATTACTGTTGTTTCCAATTACCTTAAGAAGAAACATAATCAACACCAGTAACCTAAACGCTACCAGCCTCAAAAAGTTACACTTGCTCCTGAGCTTATCAGGTTTTGTCTAGTCTACAAACATTTTCCCCCCTCTTTAAGGAAAAAAGAGCTGAAAGGTATTCCTTCCCCACTGTTGCGTATAATACCCACATCAAAAAGGCAGTTACCTACACGGGGTAAGCAGTAAAGTCAGGGTTAAACACTCAAATTCAAAGTGTACTTCAAAAATATCTTTTATTAGTTTGATAACTTCAAATTGCTACTCTCTTTTGTGTTTGCAGACAAAGAGGTAAGATAAATCTTCAGGAGTAACTTCTATCCCAAATATATTTTAAAGGAAAGGAGTGAAAACAGTGGTATTCAGACCACAATTTAATAGAAAATATATTTGCTCTGTGGAACAAATCATTTCCCCTTCTTTTGCGATGGAGCAACAACACACAAAAGATTAGCCTTGATTTCATGTTTTAACTACTTGCATTTCAAATGACCTCTATGATAAAGCTCTAAACAAGAGGCTTTTGCCCAAGGGAGCAAACCTGGTGTTTACACACGCGGTTTCATCACAACTTGCTTCCCAGTTAGAGACGCAGCAAGCAGCTCCTTGCAAGCAGATATTTGAAACCAGTCACCTTTGTTTACCTTTTAGGCTGGGCCTCTTCTAGGGATTTTACTGAACAGTGAAATAAAGAGCTACGTACCTATAATGTATTTACAATAGGATAAGGCTTGGACAGGGGACTGCTATAATTCAATAGGTATTTCCTTTGTGCTTTTCATTTTTATAAAGTAAAATTCACCGATACGTCCCAAAAGACAAATTTAAAATATCAAAACCAATAACTAAATATCTCACAAGATAGTTAAACCAATATCTAAATTTCCCAAAGTAGACTTCCAGATAATTTCAGATGGTTCAAATAACACAGCAGCTTTTTTCTTCATGAACATATAAGAAAATGACAAATGAACCCCACAAACCAGCAGAACGTGTTGCCTTAAGAAGGCGGCGTTCTG